TCCAGCTCCCTCTCGCCAACGAATCTGCCCATCAGCCCAACTGCCGCCGTGTTTCCCTCACCTCGATCCTTGACGGAAGAAATTCGGTGCCGATGGATCGCGGCAAAAGACGAGCGGCCGTTCGAAGCGAGGAAACGAACAGCCCCGGCACTTCCGGAGAGCGCGACGGCGGGAGAAACCACAGTGGCGCCAAGAGGGGGGAGGGAAGTGGGAGCAAAATCTTTAATTAGACGGTGCAGTCGGTAAAAAAAACAACAACCATAGCCTGCTACTGATAAGGCAGACGGCAACTACAGGTTTTGTTTTCTTCTAATGTTCAGGTACGTGCTGGAACCCAAAAAATCCCACAGGAAAGGAGTGGCTGGTCCAACACTTCCCTCCGTTATTTTGTTATTGATTTGGTACAGTCCGATCGGCTCGCCGCATTCCAAGAGACGGGGTGTGGCTAAAATGGGAAGGAGAACTTGGGGGCGCATGCGCGAGTGCGCCTGTTGACCTTGTAAGGGAATTGAAACTCTTTTCCTGTTCAGTTGTAGTGGGTAGGGCGCCGGTGACGTCAGGAGGCTCGCGCAGGCCCCGCTGACGTGTTTCAAGTCGCACTCTCGAGGAGGAGGAGGGGAGCGCAGCTTTGTCTGAACAGAGCGGGAAGCTCCTCTTGCGGGGTTTTGAGCTCTCCCGCTTCCTTCGGTTCTAGGAGGTTCCCTCGGTTCTTCCCACTTACTCGTTCCCAGTACGGGAAGCTTGATCCAAGGGATGCCCCATAAAGCACTCCAGACTTGATTTCAGGAAATACGATTTTAGCAACAGAGTGGTCAATGCCTGGAACTCAGTACCTGATTCTGTTGTCACCTGCTCAAACACTTCTTTTCCCTCAAACTAACCTCTATTGACATCACCCCATTCCTAAGAGGTCTGTAAAGGGGCGCGCATAAGAGCACCCTCGTGCCTACCATCCCTGTCTTATTGTCCCCAATTATTAGTTACTATTTCTAGGACAATTAACCAGTGGAACAGCTTGCCTCCAGAAGCCATGGGTGCTCCATCACTTGATGTTTTTAAGAAGAGTCTACACCAGGGCTATCAAACTTCTGGCCCTTCGGACGGATGTGTCATGCGCTGGCCATGCCCATGCCCAGTTTAGTGAAGGAGGGGAAAGTCACGATACGTCACTTGTTGCTGCTGTGACAATGCGAGGTTGACACCCCAGGTCTAGACACTAGACAGTCACTTATCAGAAATGCTATATGTTGTCCTGCTTGAGCAGGGGGCTGGACTAGAAGACCTCGAAGGTCCCTTCCAACTCAATCCATCTATTCTAACTAAATCTGTGGCTCCTAATATATGAGGAGTCTCTCTTTTAAAGCTCAGGTATAAGATGTGTAGGTGTACAGTATAATAAAAGCATGCTCATCAAACTCCTGTTTTTTTGCATCACATGGTCTTTTTTTTTTTACCTGCTATATTTAGGGTCAACTCTGGGTGGATGCACCTAATACTCCTTTTTCCTCCTCCTTTCCCAAGAACAACAACCCTGTGAAATTGGCAGGACTGAGAGAGAGGGGCTGGCCCGAAGTCATCCATGCATCCATTGTATGTCTAAAAGAGGTTTTTACTGTAGGTTGCTAGGCCAACCACATAACCTTAACCACTACATCACACTGGTTGTCTTCTATATTTTTGAATATAGACCTGTTAACACTTTCATAGCTTCTTTATCTCCCAGCAATTCAGTTGCTATTTTATCTGTTCTTGGAGATTTGCTATTTGACAGCCTGTCATACTTCAATTTTTAATGGAGACAGTTCTTCAATACATTTTTTTCCAAATGTTTTTGTCATTTTATTCCCTAAAAGTTTAAGAGCAATCTTTCTCTAACCTCATTTCCATTATAGAGCCTTTGCCTGACTACTCTTGATTAATACTACTTGGCTCTAAAATTTCCTATGATTTTGCTAATCACTCATTTTATGGTTATTCTATATCTTTTCACATTGTAGTTAATATATGATTCATGTATTTTCTATCTTAGAAATATGGATTCACCTGTCAGATAATGTCCTATGGTTTCATCTGTCTTTCTTTGCCTATTCTGATAGTATGTGTCTTATGCCATAATTTACGTGACAGCCAGGATTGTCGGGATGATTACATCACATCCAATGTTTTTAATAATATCTTAAACCAAAATAGGAGGAGAAAGATGTGTTGAACGTGTTTGCTGCCTTGTTTGTAAAAAAATGATAAAGGTGGGAAATAAATAAATCTGCCTATATTCTTGGAGAATTCTGTTATCAAAGTGTGTGACATCAGTATGATCCCCACAATCAATGGCCTGACTTGCCAGTACAAAGGGGGAAATATGCTACAAATGGAATAAATTATATGCTGATAATTTCTCAGCCTTTCAACCTTGAAGTTTGCTAGCTAAGGAAAACAGGTGTCTTCTTTGGGTATTGAAACAAAACTATAATTTATCATTCAAATTAAATATTAATGAAAAATTAGAAAAAGAAATGTTTTAAACTGAGGCATTCATATGAAGACAAACAGTAATGAGAAAATAGTGTTGATAAAATAATAGACACGGTCTTAAAAAAAATTCTCAAAAGCTATAAGGAGGCCATAAACATGGGACAGACCCATGCTTTGTTTGCCCTGCTCATCAAAGCACTCATATTAATTGAATTTCTACAATGACAGTTAACTTTAGATATAATAGTTATTGTAGGCAAAGATTGTAACCAGCATACATTTTAAAGTAAATAAAAGATCTCATCATAATTCTTAACCAATATTTACCATATGTTACCAATATTTAAGGGATAAACGCAGTTCAAGAAAAAATCCTTTTTGTTCCTTTGAATTCCTCATAATTATAACCTTTAAAGGTGGGGTACAATGGGTAAGGAATTAAAGACAAAGCTGGAAAGCTGATAGCCCAGGTTTGAGACCCGAGTGCTGAATGACAGGGTAAGGTCCCATTACTTGCTCTAGCTCCTGCCAACCTAGCAATTCGAAAGCATGCAAACGTGACTAGATGAATAGGTACCACTTTGATGGTTCTATAACGGCATTCTGTGTGCCTTGGCATAAAGTCATGCTGGCCACATAACTAAGGAAGTGTCTTCATTTTCTTGTCTAAGAAACGGAGATGAGTATCACCCCTTAGAGGCAAACATGACTGGGCAAGGGGAAACTTTTATCTTTATAACTGTTAAGAGATTTTCACTTCAGCTACCATAGCTTAAATACATTGTTATAATACTGTATTCCTTTTTCCTGAAGATCTGTTTCCCATTTCACATGATAAAGGGTAGGGTTGGGGGAATCTTCCTAAGCGTTTCCACCATGCCTCAGTCAAGTTCCTCCATATTCATTTGATGAATGGTCTCTCTACCCTGGATATCCCATTAGGTCTAGCAGAAAAGGTCCCGTCTACAAGGGAATGCCATCTGTCATGGTCTAGGAAGAGACCCTTTTTTCATCTTGCCCTTTGGAACATCATCCTGGGGAGATCAGACTGGCCTTGACCCTACTAGTCTTTTATAAGGCTTTAAATATATGACTTTATTCAATTATTCAATGTTGATGCAACAAAGCCCTCCTTTCCCATAGTAGTTATTTTGTAAGAATAATTCACATAGTTTTCTGTCAAAATTCCAACACACCAAACTAGCCCATCAGTAAGTTTAAATCCAGAGACAGTGTGACAAAGCATTGGATATCTCAATTGCTTTCTTTGACTGTGAAATCATTACCTAATTTGATACGAGCATTTTTCTGAAGTGTATAATGATTAAAATAATTTTACTATGTAGATAAATTACATGTTAGCAAGCATGTTGACTTCACGATTTCATTGGATAGTCTGTCATCCAAACACTATAAACACTAACAGGCAACAAGACAGGCAACAAGTTGACAATCATTTTAAGTAACTTTGGGGAGCAAAATACCATTTTAAAAACTATATTTGAAGTTATTTTGGGTTTACTATTTGAAAGAAAATTAGGGGATTTTACATATATCAGCCCATAAGGCAAATTTTTACATGGAATTGTTTTCAAGTTAAATGTAGATAGGATTCTGCCCTGTTAAACACACACACACACACACACACACACACACACACACACGCACTAAAACTCTTCTAATTAATGGCAGCATTAACAAGTACCAGTAATATTCCCCAGATACAATTCTTAGTCAGAGAGAAGGTTGACTGAAAACCACAAATGTAAATATTTAACTAATGATGCATCATAATGAAACAGTAATTCCCTGAGGGGGTCTAGAAACTTTGGAATGAATAGCATGTGCTGAGCTATACTTGTGTACAGGGAACTATGACCCTTTAAAAAGAAAATAGGTTCACAGAATATTCAAATAAAGCAATTGAAGGAATCTTTATAAATCTCATCTGTGATTATAATCATATACGTAATATGCTAAGAGTGGGCCTCTAAATAAAACAAATATTTTTTTGTTAATGAATTTAAACATTCTCCTTCCTGGATCAAAATGTTTGTCTTTACTAAATATAAAAATATGTACTTAATATTTTGAAATGCTACATTTCTAAAATTCCTATTGCAAGTTGTGCAAAATTTTAAGGCCTTCCCAAATATTTTATATTGAGATTATTAGTATGTATTCTACCATTACAGAGGAAGGGCCAAATATGTAGTTATTTAATTAAATTTCAAGGATCTTGATTCCTGTTTTAAATATTCATTTGTAGATTACAGTAGACATTATTATTTGTCAAAGAGAAACTTCATTAAACTGAAGTCAGCTATATAAATAGAAACACAAAGAGATGGAAAGTACACTGTATGGAAATAAAGATGACACAAGAAGTTAATGCTTGCTTATATTATGCCACTGTTTTTTAATTAGAAAAGTTTTTTTCATGTAAAAGGTTAGCTAAGTCAGGATTCACAAGTTTTTATCAGTGTTTATTTTGCTAAAAGCCCAATAATGACATTCAGCTACAGGTAATCCTTGGATTACAATGACATTTGGGATTGGAATTTCCATTGTCACTAAATGATGTCATAAAAGTGTAATATCATGTGATTGCATCACCTAGTGATAGCAAACTCAGCAGTCCTGGTTGCCATCATAATCCCAGGACAGTGTGGGTCATTAAGCGAGAACCTCATGTGACTGCAATGTGGGAAGAGGTGAAATCCCAGACAACCAGTCCAGTAG